GTGTTCAAATGAGTCTTGCACTGATGGAAGCCGATCTCCCTAGGAAGTAGGGTGGATAAATTGGTAGATTCTATGGAAAATAAATAAATTTGTGTTAGTATTTTGGTATAATTGATTCCACGAAAAAAGAATGATTCTTGAGAGGTTTATTACTTGTATGGAGATGTTCTCAATGCAAGGATATAAAGGCTATTCAAATTGTATTCGAATGAGTCTTGCACTGATTGAAGCCAATCTCCCTAGGAAGTAGGGTGGATAAATTGGTAGATTCTATGGAAAAGAAATAAATTTGTGTTAGTATTTTGGTATAATTGATTCCACGAAAAAAGAATGATTCTTGAGAGGTTTATTACTTGGGGTAAGTAATACCTTCCTAAGACTTAGGTAAATCATTTATGCATTTATACAGAAAATTGCTAATATGTGATGTGACAATGAATACAAAATAAAATGTGATGTGACAATATTGTCTGCTAATACATGAAGTGGCAATATTGTCTATTCAATAATATCACTTTTTTGAATAAAACGGTCATTATACAACTTTGCCTAAGAATAAAAAGAATATTGGCAAGTGCACTTATCCAGGTAAATGCTACTCAAGAAACACTTGCCCAGATAAGTGTATTTACTTAATAAAAGACTTACTAATATGTCTATCAATGATGCCCAGAAATCTAAGGCCCAATTCAATTATCTTGGATTTGGATGATGTATTTATGCAATCGGATCAGAATTGGATTTGACTCCATCCGATCTAACTGAAATATGAATTCAATTATATTCTAATATTTATTTATTTTAATATATAAATTTTATATAATTATATTTAAAATTATAGTTTTTATATATTATATTATATTATGTATGAATCTAAATATATATAATAAATTCAATATATATTTATATTAATTTATTATATATAAAAATTAAAAATTAATTAATTTTTTTGTATTAAAAAAATAAAGTAGAATCAGATTAAATCCAAATCTGATCCAAGTCCATTAGGATTTGAATTCAAACCTAGATCTTTAAATTCGATTAGATTTCAGATTAGAATCAGATACAAACTTTCCATAATTGGAACAAAATCGGATTTTCCTACATCCGATCTGATTATAGCCCTCCTTACCGAGACGCCAACGACACCTAAAATCTTTGTCACTATTGGAATCCAATCTAACATAGAGTAGGAAAGGAATCAGTTAATACTGATTTCTGTTTTTTACTTTATTTTTTCAATTTGAGGTAATGCCAACCATAATGTTTACGGCTGCAAATAAATCAGATCAGATCCAATCCAAATCCGACACCGATCCATTAAGAGGCAGATTCGGATATCCCTCTTGATCCTAACAAATCAGATCAGATCAGAAAAGCAGATCCAATCCGCTGTGACCTGATTTAATCCGTTAATTATGAAATATTATATTTTATATGTTATTTACATATTATATATGGTTATTCTATATATTATTTATATAATTATATATAATATATTTTATATTTTATATTTGAATATATTATTATATTATATAAATATCATAATAAATTATTTTATAAATATAATTCTAATCGAATTGGATATCCGATAATATATTCGAATTCAAATTCAAATTATATTTTTAAAAATCCAACGAATCCTTATCGGATTCGGATCAGTCGGATTTTCTTAACGAGCTGAATCGGATATGCCCTTATCAAATCCGATCCGATCCGATCCATTTGCAGCCCTAATAATGTTGCAACAATTTCGAAACCCTTCAAAATCACTGATTGTTGAGAAAATGATTTTGATAAATCAAAGTTACCAACCAAACACCTACAAATAAAAAAACGGCTCCATTATCAAAGGGTTTTCTTCCCAATAGCACTAAACAAGATTTGGAGAAGATTGTTGTTGAGTATTAATCCATCATGAGTAGTTCATCCGCTGTATTAGACCATATACTATTATTAATTGAAAACACTAGTGTAAGGTCGCAGGTCTTCCGATGGTTTATTTATTTTTTGATAAATACTTCCGATAGGTAATCTTGATTCTTGATGGAAATGGAAAAAAGTTCACGGTTTAATTATAATCAGTGGTGTTAAAATAACACTTGCATGACTGTTTGTATGTCTCTCTGCAATTCTTTTTCAATGTAAACTTATTCAGCTTCAACTTTTAAGTAAGGTGTTAAAGAATCAGTGAATTAATTTCTAACTAATTGGATGGATAACCATGAACCATCCATCTGTTGATAGATCGGGACAGGTATTGACTGAGTTTCCTAGAAATGCAAGTAGAACTGGCAATTGGGTTGGGTGGATCGTGTTCGGGTTGGGTTAAACTACTTTGGGTTGATTTTGGGTCAGATTGAATTTCGGGTTGGGTTGTCAAATGCTGGACCCTAACCCTAAATGTTCGGGTTAGGATTGACCCATGGGTCAATTCGGGTCATCCCAAAAAATAATTGAAATTTAAAAAAATAAAGAAAAATTACATGAAAAATGTTAAAATTAAAAGAATTAACCTTAAAATTCCAAATATAAAATAAAAAACTTGAACATTTAAGGATTGAAAGAGTAAACAATAAAAAGTAAAGATTAAATAAAAAAAAATTAAAGAGTGAAAACTTCTAACAATGCATAAATAATCCCAATTAAATTTAACAATTGGATCAACGGATTATCCCATGACCCAACCCAACCCAGTTTTTTTGGGATTAGTCGGCCCCTTTCACATTCGAATAACTAAATATGAGACCCTAACCCTGTTTTTCCGGGTTGGATTGATTCGGGTTCACGAGTTGCCTCAACTTTTTGCCACGTCTAAATGCAAGTACGAAGCTTCTTGCCAAATAGAATTAACATGTAAATATGTAAATTAAAGAATTAACAAGAACTGGCCAACTGGGTGTGGGCCCCCCGGGGGAGGGTGTGCGTCTTTGAGAGAGAGAGGGCACAGGGTAGCCCTTGCCCTTCCACCAAGCTTGCGTTTCCCTCTTACTTGCTTCCTAAATTTGGTGTGGGGCAAGACCCAAGAATCCTCGTTTAACCACATACCATATACACTGTACGCTGGGTCCCAAAAACTTGCCACGTGTTACATTCTCACAAATGAAGCCTCGCATAGGAGAGATGTCTTACATGTGAAAATTTCTATTTGGAAAGATCAAATTCCTCAGAAAAAGGTAGGAAAACGGTTAATACTGATTTCTGCTTTACTAGGCTCAGTTTGGAAGGAGTATATATACAGTATAAATACATACAAAATAATATAAAATATAAGATTTTACACTCTACGTATTTATATTTGTACTCCTTCCAAACTAAGCCTAATTTGATGTAATGCCAGTTATAATGTTGTGACAATTTTTAAGCGTTCATGATTTAACGTGGACAGAAGGAAATGCCAAAACAGGATTCATGTCACTGATGACTGACCCCATGGGTTAGTTTCCATTCAAATCAGATGGTTGAACCACTGACGACCCAGATTTTGGAGGCAAAACTAACCATAGGTTAGTTCATCAATATTATTTGTGTCAAAAAACATCTTAAAATCTATAATCCTCCAAACCCTTAAAATCACTAATTCTTGAAAAAAAAATTGACTTTGATAAATCAATTTTTCCAACTGAAAGGCCTCACCCACAAATCCAAAATGGCTTAACGACCAAGGATTTTCTTCCAAACCCTAGACAAGATTTGTTTAAGATTGTTATTGAGCGTTGATCTTTACTTCTTTAGTAGGTCATGTGATGTATTATTTACACGGTACATTATTAATTTAAGATATTATAGGTCTTCCGATGAGTAATCTTTCATAGGTCATAATTTAATTATAATCAGTATTAAATAACACTTCCATGAATGTTCTGTAGCTCTACAATTCTTTTTGACAATACAAACTTCAGTTTCAGCTTTCAGGTAAGTTGGATTAATTCTTTATTATTTTTGTTTTAATTAACAACATTAGATGATGTGTGCATACGAACAATTATGGAAACAAGCAAATATTCTGAGTCTGAGACGGTGCAAGAAATTGGATTAGTGTATTGAATTGTGTTAATTAAAATATACAAAGATTCTACGCGGTATTCTTAGGTGTTAGCTGATTAATTCATGTATATAAAACTTAATTTCAACTAATTGGATGGATAGCAATAACTGATCGACTGGGGTCTGAACCTAGAATACAAGTATGAAGTTTCTTGCTATCTCGTTAAATTGACAAAAGCTGTGATGGTGGAGTGGTCATAGGCCCTCGTTTAATCCTCAATATGTAGGAATATCCAATGGCCATGTGACAAGCCACATGTTGATGGTTGRTAGTTGATGGTCATTTCCATGCAACACTCTCACACACAATTATTCTTTTTTAAATAATTACCTATTTATTTATTTATTTTCTATAAAAATAAATTTATTTGATTGTTTATTCAAAACCTTTTTCCATGCATGGAGATACCAATGTTGGTTGGATTATTTGGATCCATATTCCAGCTCTCACTGGGTCAATGGATATCCATTTGACCCGGTATAGACTGGATAACTAAGTGGTTATATCCTTGGTCAATATGAGACACTTGTCTCAAATCTGTTGGAGCATGGATTCTAATGTTAAGGAACACTTATCTCAATTGGTTATACTGCTAACAGTTTGTTCCTAATGTCAAGGAACTTAAAGTTGGAGAAGCAACCATATAAGGGATCTCTCCCAAGTGCTTCAACACAATGAGATAGGCTTTTTACTGAGAAAGGAAAATTATCCTCTCAGCCTTAGCTCTAATCAGATTAAGCTATTCTCTCTTACACATTGTTTGAGAGGTTGGTGTCTCAGATCCTATACTGTGAAGCTGCTATTATTCTCTTTGCATGCAGGTTAGACAGACAGAGATCTCAGCCGTTCGATTCTGCATGCATTTGGATTAACAAACTGGTCAACATAACCATAAAAGAAGAATAATAAACTAAGCATTCAAAGATGATCATTCACTGAGAAGCTATAATCGGAAGTTTGGAATCAGTCAAACAATGGTGATGACATATATTATGTTTGATAAAATGTCGAATACAATCTCGTGGTGGTCAACATGATGTCATGATCATGGATACATTTTACACTTTCAAATGGAAAAGGAAAAAAAAAATGTGCAGTTGAAGTTTGGCTTCACCCCAGAACTACAACTTCTCAGCCTAGGGGATAGCAGTCCATAGCAGAATCCGCCGTGGCCGATCCAGAAACCTAGCTTGCCAAGCAGGTTCATCATTTTCATATACAAAACCACTCTTGATGTACAGTTTCCTTGCTGGTTCATTGTCGATGGCAACATGCACATATAGATCAGTTATACCTGAAAAAAGAATGTAAAATAAATTGATTTTTTTTAATCAACAAGGAACAAACCAAAGATGAAAGGTACACGAAAGTAAGCAGGCATCAGGGCATCATCCAAGGTAAAAGTATGTGCTAATAATAAAAGCACAGACAAAAATTGCCTTAAAAAGAGTGAAAGGAAACCAACCAAAACAAAACCACTTACACCAATGACCTTAATCTCAAAAATTAAGCAGACTTAGGTCTAGTCAAGAAGGGAGACTGCAAATACACTCACCCCAAATGACAACTTGGCCAATCCAGCCCATTCATCAGTTTTATTACACAACTATATAAGGCATATCCCACCATGAAATTGGATTCATCCTCACAAAATACCACCCTTTGAATTGAGTTGCATTACAACAGCATATTCAACTACAAATTGCCACATGAGAGGGTGGTCTTGCAAATGCACGGAGAGAGTTGACATGTTGGGATCGACTCTATACAAATTTCTCACATGGAGAGAGTTGACATGTTGGGATAAACTCTACACAAATTTTACACATGGAAACCGAGTAGGATCTCTGCAATTTCTACATATCACATTGTTTCCAAGAGAAAATTTTGATTTACTGTCAATCCATATTATAATGCATGCTAACACTGAGAACTCCCCATGATAGTCTGGGACTTGCCATGTTAGGCCTTCATGTGGTAAGAACCCATCAAAGCAAGCAAAGTCTACAAAGACAATTGAATACCTTATCATTTTACATGTGTATGCATATGTGGCATAAAGATTTATGGAATCATTATTTTGAAGTATGATGTGTCCAATCAAGAGCTTCCTTACAAAATATGCATGTATTTGGAACCAACGTTGAATGTGCAAAGTGCATACACTTTGCATGAAAATAATGTGCAATTATTGTAATGATGACAATGATCATGAAGATCAAATGTGTGTACAATGAAAAAAGTTTTATAAAGATTACTAACCCCATTCTTGGGAAAGTTCCTTTGCTTTGGCAACAACTGCATAGCCCACACCATTTCTATGTAGCTCCTTGGCAACACATACATTGCTGAGGTATGCCCTTGTTAAATCAGCTCCAATACCCTGAAAAAATTATTTCAATTCCATAAGCAACAAGGCTGATGTTATAAAAATTAACAAATACAATAAGTCATCTACAACAACACCTAAAATGAAAGAAGCTGACCATTAATGTGACACTGGATATGCAAAATATGCCATTATGATATTGGTGTCTTTTCTTTCTTCTGGGGATGGGAGGATGGATATGCAACATATGCCATTCAAATATTAGCATTTACATGAACAACGGAAGACATAAAAGAATCATAGCCACAGATATTCTTATATTCCAGGTCCAAAAAGAATATCAAGATGAAGATGCGACACACAATGTGGAAAAAAAAATCTACAAATTCTCCAACTTGATTTTCAAATCTTCAAAAGTGAACTTCATATCTTAGAAAGCATCACTATGAAACTTATCTTCATGCTTCCTTTGATTGATAACAGTAAGAGTATTGTATTAAATGTAGCAGTATAACAATAAAGTGCAAGTACAAAACTACAGAACACAAACCAAAAAAGAAGAAAAAAGAAAGAGTTTGAGGCTGCCATAAACCTCAATTGGGTTTACTAATACAAAATGTAACAAAAAACAAACAATACCTTCGACCTGATAATAATATCCCCCAATATAGTTAAGTTCTCAAGGCGCTCTTCTTGCAAGACTACCTGCCAAGGAATTGGCAAATCTGTTTCCTCCCTTGATGCCAAAGATATGGTCTCTCTATTGTGAAAGGATAGCCTTTAGGGGGCTATTTTGCTTCCTCAGTCTCTCATTCCCATTTCTAGTTGTTGCTCTTCCTCTTGTGACACATGCCCCATGGATACTGATCATCTTAGACCCTATATCAAATATAGTGCCTGGTCTCATGCTGAATGATCTGAACCAACAACCTGACCAGATAATGCTAGATTACCACACCAAGCATATCCTTGAAAACTACTCCAATCACTATATAACTTACTCCACTGATGTGTAAAGAAATTACTCCAGTTGCCTTGTTACAAATACAGAGGTGTTCAGACCCTTCTTCCCTGATTTACAACTTCTCTTAAGGTTTTTATGACATGAAGACTTTTGTAATCCTGAGCTCCAAACATAATAACTCAAAAAGTAAGACCTGGAGAAAATTTATAAAGGAGACAGCCCAATAAGTTGTTCAGCAATTATTCTGGAAATATTGTGAAACTAAATCAAGTTAGCCTCACTTACTAACAATTTTTCATAAAGCTGATTTGTGGATATCAATGGTTTTTCATATTGTTCTATAGGACCTCAATTTGGAACTGACGTCTATACTTCTCTATAAAAAAATCTGGTGACTCTGACTTGACACCAGCCTGTAGCTAGCAACAGATTGTGATCTTAATCATTCTTATTCATTTATGGAAATTCATCAGTTGTGGATATATTGGTAGTTAATAATTGATTTATTAGCATGTATGTCATGACTTTTCACATGAAATAAGTTGGATTACTCTGGTAATGCATACCCACATTATTCTATCAAATTTGAAAGTAAAAAAAAAAGATAATTTAATTGAATAGCCTAAGCATTAATTGGGTTCCTGGAAAAAAATGGAGAAGAAAAAAGAAAAAATGATGAGTGTAACCTCCATACAGTTAGAAAGAATCCAGACATGTACCTCTGGCTTCTTCCCAGTGATTTCCTCAGGAAGCCGTAGACATTGGTTAAGATCAAGGGTCCCCACCACAATGCGATTTTCTCCTTTTTCAGAAAACTATGAAAGATAATCAACAGAAAACAAATTGGATAAGAACATCTTGGAGGTTTTTCTTTTTTTTTTTTGTCCCATGGAAATCAATTTTAGCATGACAAAAATCTGAACAATAATTTTTCAAAAACTTGTGGCATAGACAACTATTTAACTGCATTATACCAGTAACGATTGTAGCTTAACCCATTCTAACAGTTCTAGGTTTCTGAAAATAAAAAATGCAATTATATCTAGTTAAGGGAACATTCTACAAAATTTATATATTAGGAGCATGGTTCTGAATGTTTACAATTCTTCTAAGTAGAAATCTTATCTGAGAAATTTGCCACCTAAGAGGCAGAAGAAGATGGCCAAAACTAACAGGCAGCTTAAACCTCAAGGCACATTCTCAAAAAGAAACAATATTTTGGAAAGAATAACTGATTCTACTACTATAAAGAAGCCACCCAATCTGCTCTCTATTATCCATGTGATATGCAATTTTCTAGCTATAATACATGCAAAACCAAGTAGGCATTCATTAAAATTCTAGGACAATGCCAAATCATATTGAAAAAGCATTCAAATTCCTCTAGATTACGCAATTCATATGGAGAAATCCTAAGGGTTGCAGCTTTTCTTTTAGTTTATGTCCCCCCTTTCTAATTACGACTGATGTTGTATTCAATGTTCTCAGACTTGAACTGGACAGGATGATTGGACCATCAGAACTGGAACAAGCAGTCAAAATGATTTTGGAGTTGCCTGGTTGTAAGAAATGTTGACTTTGTCAAGCTTACCCTAAAAAACAGGTCTTAATAGGTTTTGTAACCTCTAAATTTATTATTTTATGCTTATTTTGATGTATTATAGCTTTAAAAGATCATGTAGAACACCTATCTATTTTTCTTTGTTTTTTTTTTGAATGTTTTACTTGAGCAAGTTGAATAGTAGAACTGGATGATTGATTCAACCCATGACCCAGTGACAAACAGTACTAAGCCCAGTTGAATCTGAGAACAGTGATTTTATTATGTAGTGGATTTTTTTGGGTAAGCATATCAAACACAGTATATAATTTTATAGTGGAATTTTATATAACATTTTAACATATCAAACACGGTATCACTAAGTCTGCTCCTAGGACTAATGAAATCAGCAGAACACCCATAAGAATATTACACATGATGAAAACTACAGTAATATCAGGCATGAATTCATACCTTACATGCAGAGCACAGATCATCTGAAAAGTTTGATGTTTCTGATAATGGAAGCGTAGCATTTATACAAGAAACCCTTCTAAATCCTATCCTCTTCCCAGCAATACGTTCCTTCAGTGCTTCAAACTCACGCTCCGCCAAGTACCTCTTATGATCCTAACAGAACTTGACAATGAATAAATATCATAAGTATTATAAAAAGGGCAGAAAGAAGAATTTGCATTTCAAAAAACCAGTCAAAAATTTGGCAGTTTGTTGAAAGGAAGCTTGGAACCTCAGCATGAAGAAAAAAAAAAATGATAAGATGTATTTTTAAAGCTATCACACCTTTGATGTTCTTGGATTTAGTTTCCCAGAATGGTGATGTTCACCATTTGATATTGTCTGAAATGATTTTCAAGGTAAGCCATTTTTATAAAATTTTAGAAAAATCATCTCAATATTATCAGACTAAGTTAAACACAATTGCACAAAGCTTCTCACGAGGTCTTTAGAGGAAGGCAACATTTTTCAGACATGGACCGTTGGACGGACATATTGATTGAATTCAGTTTAGATGCACAAGACAAATTTCAGTTTCATCTCTCGATTGCATTCAAGAAAATTTAGAAAAAGAAAGTAAGAAAGAAAAAAAAAAGTTAATTCTCTCTTTCTCTACCAAACATCCAACAAAATTAATCAAAAGAGCTACCTTTCGTCCCAAACACGAAACCTCTACAAAAATATAAAACCAGAGCTATAACCCAACAAACAAATGCTACAACTACAATTTTATCACCAAAATAGATAGAAATTCATGAAGAAAAGAAGCGAGAAAGAAAACGAATAGATCAATCAATTGGAAACTCACCTGGACACCGTAAGACTCCTGAAATTCGTTGAATGACCGAACACGGAGACAAGCAGCAGCCCAGAGCTGCTCCTCGGAGAAAGCTTCGGCGACAACCAAAGCAGACCTGTCTATGGTCACCAGTTCTTGGGTGCAGAGCTGGGAGGTAATGATCGGCCGGGACAGGCCTTGGCACCTCCGAGAAGAGAGGAATACAGAAGATGGGGTTCTAAGGAAGTAGTGACTAGTGCAGAATCTACAACTCCGAGAATTGGTTCTCCATTGAGGATTAGAAACAAGAGGAGAGGAAGATAGAGACGCCATTTTCAGATTTTTTTTTTTTTTTTTTTGGGTCTGTGGATCACGCCCGTTCTGTTCTCTCTCCTCTCACCCTCTTTCTTCACCTTCACCCTTTTATTAGTTGCTGTCTTTAGTTAGACCAAAATTACTTAAATATCCTTGACAGTTGGATAGTCTATATAGTTTTTCGCGAATTAGAAATGTCTGCATCCGTCAAAGCACCTGGTAGAGTGGTCAGACGCCCCGATTGGACCCACCCCATTTGAGGGTTGACTAATGCAACGCAGATATTTCCTCCTCCATCTGATCAAAGGGCCCGTTTGGGACAGATGAAGCAAGCATTGGTTGAGATGCTTTGAATAAGTGTACATTTGGAAGGTCTTCCTCGAGGTGGCTTTTGGCTTTGCAAATTGGGCCCCATCAGACTACACTCTAAACAACTTGACCTGAAGGAGGAGGACAACACTTATTTGTTCAATGAGCATTGAGCACCAATTAAAACTTAAAAGGTTTCAACTTTCAAGGATGTTAGTGTTTCTAACAAACCCAAAAATGATTTTAGTCCAAAATCGTCTAACTGATGTTAGATGGCAAGTGAAAGAACAGAAATACCGTTCAAGTTTTGAATAGGTGAGAGAAGTATAATTCTGAAATAACCAAAATAGCTATATTTTAACCCCTTTCCATTGTGATAGGATACCAGTGTTCATTTTATGCCAATCGAAGAACAAATGCTTCCTATTGGAGAAGACAATGCTGTTGCTGGAGAAGAGGGATTTAGACCGCAGCCGTAATCTTTTTTCAGTTATTCAATCCATAACAAAAGGGGTATAGAGTAGAGAAAACAAAAGAGTAAAAGCAAAATAGAGCATACAAAGAAAGAACTCAGAGATTTATGTGATTCAGCTTATGAGCTCGGATATCCTTCCCACAAAGAATCCTACCCACATCTCACTAGAGCTGTACATTCATGGGGAGACATTCCCAATGTGCACCTGTAGCGAGATGTGGGTAGTTGTGGCAGGAGATCTGAATTGTCAGCTTATAGCCGACGTCCAGGGGCGTAGCCTCTCAACAATATCCTGGCTCTCAATACATCCGGAGCTTGAACTAAATTTGATCAGTATCGAAGTTTGCACTAAATTTTTATTGAACTCCTTTCTAGATTAGTATGATTGAATTGGTGGGTGAGTAATGTTCTCAGACTCTGATTAAGTGATTAGATTAGATAATTGAACCAGTGAACTGGTGACTCAATTAGCTTTCTGGGTCCCGGTTTTTTTATAGGTTGAAACAATCTAGCTGCTGGTTATACCAAATTTGTGACCCTGTTGAAAGCTTTCCAGTTTTACTTCCAGTCTGGTTCTAACGACACTAGCTTGGAGTTTTAGCTGGACTGTTTTTCCTTTTTTTTTTCATCTTTAGCGATTGACAATCTGGTGGTATTCCTCTATCTAAAGTGGTGTAAATGATAGAACGAAGTGAGGGAATTACCTCTTTCCACCCGGACGGACATACTCCCATCTTCCCAATCTTCTTTGGGTGTTTCTATCAAGAGTGGCATGTGAGAACATTGATGAGAACAGTGGTTCTGGGACATCAACTGCTCCTTCAACCTTAAGACTGGCAAAGGAAGCCATGAAATTAAATGGTGATAGGTAGCGTCTTGATGGGAGAATGGGTTCAGACTTCAAGCTTCAGAGGTATGGGAAGATGCTGAACGGGTTACAGAAGTTGGTTTTGATTGTACTCTGTATGCACCTCTTATTTGTTTATAAGAGAACTGTTGTGTAAGGCAACCCCCAAAAGAACACTCAAAGACCACATAGAGATTTATGTGGTTCGGCTTTAAGCCTACACCCACGGGAAAAAGAAAAGCAGAAATCCATTATCACGACAAACGATGAAGCAGAAGCGTGTGAAAACAGCCTATTTTAAAACCCAAAACCCTCATTCTCATTCTGTTTCTGATGGTGAACCCTAGAGGGCAAGATACATTATATACGAGGCCCACATTTGAAATTGGGTCGGGTCCGTACTGCTACAGGGTTTTGTGCCATCACCAAGCAGAGGGCATCTGCTTCATTTTCTGGACCATCAAAGTTTGACTGCTGTCTCATGATTAACCATTTTCCCAAGTCTTTGGCTTCTTGTCAGACAAGGGAGGATGTGAGTTGTTGGTGGAAACAGGGGACTAAAGAAGCATCCTTCATTTTGCTTTAGATAATTCAAGGAAAGGTAAGACTGGGGAGGTGATAAATTTATAGACAGTAACCTTGGAATGGGCATGAAATAGATTCTGACTCCTGTTTATATTTGTTTTTGAGCAAAGAGAATGAAAAGAGTGAAGACACCAACCATTTACTTTTTTTTTCTGTTTTTTTGTTTCTTCTTTGTATTGCATTTTTTATTTGGGTGTCAAACAATCTGGAGCATTCTACCTGTGATCCCAGTAATCAAAAACGGCTTTACACCCCTATGGGTGAGTCAAACAGTTCTCTACTTCTCTGACTCTCAGCATGTATAGCTTCCATGCATTTTGGTTCTTTGCCTGACCTGGTACAGTATAATTTTTGCTGGTTCTGCACTGACCTTGACCAATAAAGTTCCCAACCTCTTGAAGGATCTTGAATAACTCCTAGTATTTGGTTGCTTTCTTTATCATTTGCTAATAAATCTTTAAATCTTAGTCTGGATTAGCACAATTGTAGTAAAACTCTGTATACTTTCTATTTTGCTCAGAACTGGTGAATGATGATTGTTACACTATCCAGTATAATTGAATAACTATGGGGACCAAAACTACATATAGAATGGGAAGTTCAACATAAATACAAGAAGGATAATTTTCATTCCTCCAGCTTATCAGCATTGTCTGTTTGCTTATGAACTCGGCTCCTCAACTCTTCAAAAGCCCGCATGCTTTCTGCATCAAAGCCTCCAGCAAACTGGAAATAATTTCAAATCAGGATTTCATTCATGTTCTTGCAATAAACTTCAACTTGGTAGTTGGTACTTATAAAAGAAAATACTTCAACTCGGTAATCGTAATGTTGGTAATGATGTTTACACTAAAAAACGAATAAATGGTGAACTAGGAAATTTGTTGACCAGGATTTATCAGAAGATCCAAATCAACTGACAAGCATCTGCTTTCCCCACATAGAGAAGACTGGTTCTTACAGATCAAAGCATGGTAAAAGTTTAGTTTACTTTGGAAGTTAATACACAAAATCTCTTCCAAACAAGAACTCTTCTAAAAATCAAATCCATTCTTCTCCCACTTGGATACAAATGGTTTGCACACATTTATAAATGCCACAGGTAGTTACTCTATCTAATAAGAATGAGTATAATGTTAAGCATCCATAATTTCAAGTTTATAATATATTTAATGAGTGAAGAATTTTAACACCTAACCTGATGAACACGGAATGCAAAGCGCACGCCTTGCAGAAGCAAAAATTCTCTATTTGGCTCCTTTTCAGGTCCGTCCATGGCATCAAGCTCTGATGCTACTCTTTTCATGTATTTCCTTGCCAATTGTACGGATGAAAGCTTAATCTGCAGTAAGAAATAATATAACTTGATAACTTACTAAAATTAGGAATTATATATTTAATAATTCATTGTCAGATGACATATGCCAAATAATGGAATCTGGTTTGCTTCCCTCCTGTTCTTTTTTCCTTCTTCAGAGCATATTCTCCATGGCACTAATGATCTAAACCAATTCATTAGCATAAATATCTCTAGCAGATATACTTCATAAATAGGTCATTCTTTTCCCATGATTGTGATTAATAAATTTATCTTTTCAAGGAGAGAGAGAGAGAGAATTTTTTTAATTAATAAAAATGATAAGAGTCTTCTTTAAACAAGAACTGTGAATGTGCTTTATCTGATTTTACACCTTTACTCTTCCTCTTTTGCTTCAAAAATTTAGACACTATCATTTTCCTTCACAAATTGTTAATTCTCAGATTTCTAAAAGTTCATCTTATTGTAGAATTGAAGCATGTACCTTGCCCACCAAACCCGAGTCCAACAACCAATCAACCGGAATTCCAAACTCCCTGTACCGTGAAATAGCCATGTCCCTTGTCCGTAGGAGTGCATAGACACTTTGTTCCACTCTGAAGAAAAGTGATAAAGGAAAAAGGAAAAGATATTTTAAAATGCAGATGCCAACTAGGTATTTGTTGTGCTATTGAACTGGCAACAAGTTTTCTAAGAAAAGGTAATATGAAGTGGCCATAAGTTTTGTATGAGAAATTTTCTAAATCTACCAATGTTAAAAAGAAATAACAAAAGGTGAGACCATAAAATGCTTACTTTTCAAGCAATGAGTACATCTTTTTCAGTGCAGCTTCACAGGAGAGTTTGGGATCATCAACAAAAGTAGAGACTTGCTTCTCCAACTTCATTAAGTCCTGGTATTCAAAAGCTGCCTCTCTCAATGCATCAGCTTTACCTTCAGGCCAATCAAAATGCTTGAGAACTGCACGCTCATCAACCTATCCAAAAAAAAAAAAATCAAACCATCAAGGAAATAGTACTGAAAATAATAGCAGATCCCTTGGACCCCTAACTTAATCAAACACTTCAACAGGAAATATTCACCTCTCATAATAGATGATACAACTGTCCTGATTCTTTTTAGTTTGTGAGGATGAAGTATTTGAACTAACAATAACAACTACTATGTACAAAGTTTCCGGACAGGAAAAAAAAAAAAAAACTTCTACTTATTGTTTGACGTCCATGATAAATAGGGAAATATTTCTTATGAAGGTGATCGCTGCAATCAGGTTGGCATTCACATCATTTCTTATTCTATTTTTTCTTGATATTTCTATTATTAAGAAATCTTTATCTTCTCCAGATTTTTTCCCAACATAAATGCAACAATGGCATATTGTGTAAATGGAATCTAGAATGCATACCAAGAAAGAGAGCTCCTCATCAAGCCAGTTTACAAATGACACCAAGTCTTCTATGTTGGTAAAAGAAGCTGCTCGGACTTCAGTGGCCAAGGACTGGACAAAATCACCTTGTGTCTCCACATCAGCTTTCACCTGGACCCAGGCACACATTTTCTTTCTTGTTAAATTTGACACTACACCAAGAAGATGTTTTGTTCCAGAAAATAAGAAAGCAAATGCAAATTTGAATTAAAAAAGTTTACTTACAGCTAAAAGGAATGATGATCTGTTCTCAATCTCCCCAATCATATTGCTTCTAACATCTGATGTATTGGGTGTAAATGATGTCAAAGTGGAGGTATCCTTCTTTGCCTCACGTTTCATCAAAGTCTGGTAGAATTCAACTAGCTCAGGAGCCCGATGAACTTTATCACCAGTACCTGATCCTCTTGGCAAACTTCCTGGTGGAGGAGGTGGGCGAGGTGGTCCACCTGGAGGAGGAGGTGGTGGTGGTGGTGCACCCGGTGGTGGTGGAGGGGCTGGTATTCCACTTGATGGGTTACCATTCATACCAGCAGATGTGGGAGCACCACCAGAAGGTTTAGGAGGTGGCCTAGGCACCCTTGGAGCCCTCTTCTCAATGTGGGCAAGTTTCATCTTGCTCACTACTTGGGGATCAACCTTGTCATTGTCACCGGTTTGTTCACCTGAATTAGTAGCAACAACTTTCTCCTTTATATGAGCGAGTTTTGGTGGCAATGTTACAGGTTTCTCTTTCTCAGCCTTGGCTCCAGAGCCAGGGCTTGAATTCACATTTGAGCCATCTCCAAATCTCTCTGCTCTTGCTTTCTCAGCCTTTTCCTTGATTGCCTTCTCCCGTTCTAAGGCCAATCTGTGCCGATCCTTGTATGCAGGATACTTGTCATCAAGCACCCCTTCAACAGATTTAGACATTAGTTGGAAAGAAGATGCTACAGGATTTAGTGAATCACTAGAAGGAATTTGTACTCGAAGGCGTGGTAGATTTGGTGTTTCTGGAGATTCAATGGGATCCTGATCCTTCCTTCCAAATGTAGTTATGGCCACACTATCACCTGCATTTCTTAGCATCAAGGTTTCCAATGGACCTCTAGACATGGATGTTCTATGGCTCATGCTAATCCTGGGTGAACCTCCAAAGGACCTGGCTGGTGATGAAAGAGCACTTGAATCATCCTTGCTTTTGCCCCACTTTTTCAGCTTCTGGATTAAGCTTGGCTTCTTACTTAGGCTACTATATCTACTTGTGGAGCTATCTATTGAAGTGTTGTCAAAGTCCTCACTACCAGGAGAGGATGGATGAGAAGAAATGCTGTCCAGGTCAGTGTCTCCTTGCCCACGTTCTGATCCTGCATACTCTAGCATCAGCTGCTTAGCTTTCTCTTGAGATTTTGGGCTCAAACTCTTACTGAGATCACGAGCAGATATCTTCCCAGCTGGCGTCTGGTAGTTCCGCAGCTCATATCTCAAACATGCATTGACCCAACGTAGGTACACTAACTCTTCAACTTCACTGAACCTATTCATTTGAAGCCCTTCCACCTGCTTTAAGAGGTCTTCATTTGTATGCTTTAAGCTATTAACCTCCTCCCTTGCATTGGCAACCATTTCACTCTAGTGACATGAAACAAAGTTTAGTATTGTATAGAGTATAGGCTAACCAAACACATTCACATATTTAAATATGTTTGACACATAGATCAATCATATTAACTACATACTATTTTTCTTCTTCCAAAAAATACTGATTTCATAGATCAAAGAAATTACATAAAGGCTACTCATGGTAAAATCATATATACTTCACATGTAGCAACAAGGAGGACATCCAGTTTGAAAAGGAATTATACTGGACAAACAGTTGAATACATTTCTCTTCTTAAGGAATTAGTTAGCAACAATACTAGACATCTACATAGAAATGTTCATGAGATTTTTTTTATTGTTGTTGGAGTATAAGCTGTATCTTCTAATTGTTTCTCCAACACATCTTGCACTGGGTTTGTTGTTTCCATCTTTACATATCTGACACCAATTTGCGTAAGCTCCTCTAAGTTAACATAACATAGCTTCACCTAATCAGCTATGCATTACTTTTTACTTTAACAAATCCCCAGTATTTTAACCGCATCTTTATTGACATTTTTTTTTATTTCAAACCATCTAGAGTCTAGGGAAAGTCCTTCATTTATTTTCAATAAATCCAATCCAGTCAAATTATGACTTCAGGAATGACATTTAAGTAAATTTAAAAAAAAAATAAAGCAAAAGGTTAGTTGCAATTTTCAGAAAATTCAGGTATCCAAAATTTTTTGTTTGTTTTGTAAACCATGTGAAAATACCAGACTAAATCATAGAGACAGAGTATGGAATAAAACAGAACATTAAAGAGAAGAACTCAAAATGAGATAGAACGCAGAGACTGAGTAATGTGCTCCCTCGTACATAAATATGATAATCATGCACTTTTCTTCTCTGTTTGCATTCATGTAACATGTACATATGAATTTAAGCACAGAGAAATTGACATAAAATATTTGAAGTACATTTAAGAATCTTACCTCTGTCATATTGGAGAGAGTTGTTACTCTAGCTTCGGCAGCATCCAGTTTAATACTCAACTCCCTCTTCTCATGCTGAAGTTCTTTATTCCTCCTCTTAAGCTCCACGACTTCCACCTCTAATTCCTTCACAGCATTCAGCTTCTTCTCCAAGTCCTTATCTTGCTTGAAGGCTTCCTCCTCCTTTGCCTGAAGAGTAGTAACCTGCTGTTTGAGCATCAGTAACTGGCCCTTGGTCTGGTTGGCATCAAGTTGAATCTGCCTCTGCAGCTCCTTGATCTTGTTCCTCGCCACCTCCAACTCCTTCCTTGCTGATACACCCTGGGCAATCTCTTCTTGAAGTTTCTTCCTCTCAGCCTGCAAGGTATTAATGGTGATGTTCAGCATGTCAATTTCAACGGTCTTGATCTTCAGCTGCTTTTGTAGCTCAGCAACGTCTGATTCCTGTTCCTTCAGGCCATAGTACTCGAGCAATTCACCTTCAAGCTTCACTTCCCTCTCTTCCAATTCCTTTACCAGGTTACGTAGCCTTTCCAGTTCATTTGTGTTCACCATCTCGGTCTCATACATCTTTTCTTTATCACCGTACGGTGGTAACTCAATTTCCCTAGAAAGAAACTCTTCAAATTCTGGTAAGATTTGCTCTTCTTCAAGAGCAGGAGTATTTCCCGAGACAGGGCTGATTACACTACTTATTCTTTTAACCTCTTCTTCCTCCTCTTCATCCTCCCCCTGAAACAGATAAAACATTTATTTATCAAAATCTAATCTTGCTGAGTGGGAAAACAGAAAGAAAGCTTGGAGCTTTTCTGGAATTGAGAGGAGAAACAAAAATGAGCTTTGAAGTGATGCTTACCTGTTCCTTTTCTGTGTCAACAATGAAATCAATGAACTGTCTCTGCTCAGCTTCCTCTTCATTCTGATGTTGTTCAAACCCAGCTTCACCGTTCCCTGAGCTCAAAATTCCAAAGTATTAAGAGAAAAGATACAATTCCAATAAAATACTATCAAGTCATATAATCCTTAGGAACTAGAATTTCACATGGCGCTTTATCAATAGCCCAAAGCAGAACCTTTTTAACTCCAGCTTTTCCCAGCAAAATTGCATAAAGGAAAATCAATAAGGTCTCTGATAAACAAGAAAGGAATAGTATTTTTACCTGAAGCCTTGACTGAAGCAGTTGGTGGCTTCGAAGATTTAACGTTTATCTGCCTAACTGCATAGGCTGCAATTGAAGCAGCAACCAGGAAGCCGAACCTAACTATCATGTAGATACTGTTAATGGGTAGTTCCTGACCTTCGTCTCATCTCCGGAAAATGTATAATTCAGCAGCATCCGACCACCCATTTCTCCCCAACCCCCATAACTGATGAATCAAATCATCAGAATGCCCAAAATACAAGCAAGAGAACCAGTCAATGTAACAGAGCTCGATTCTGAAAACCAAAAGGAACCCAGGTTGGAGAATGGGCAATTAAGTACAGACAAGAAACAAATCCAGTTCTATACATTCCCGTTGTTTCATCATCATTATCTTGTCAAGTTCTATTCAGACCTTACAGTAAAATGTTTTCCAATATATTCAAAAACTAAAAAAGAAAGAATTCCAAAACCAACCTCTCAAGCTGCGACTCTGAGCCACAGCAGCCACCAAATAACTAGTGGCTAACCTTTATCCAGACAACTTGAAGCTTTTATTATAAGTGGGTTCTCACTTCTCATGTAGTTATGTTTTAATCTTCCTTCCCAGGGAATATAATTTTTATGGTCTAAACAATCAAACCTGAGCAACTGCCAAAAACACCAATAACTGTAAATTTGAGTCGAAGACAACCTCTAAAATTCTATCTACCTTTGGCCGTTAGGCGGGGAACTGAAATTGTGGGTTGTCCATCTACCAGTTTTCAGCCGTCTGATCTGATCATCTGCATCTTCTGTTATATCATGGGCAATTCACAATTGTAGGTCCCATCGCCTACTCAGATGGCTTTACCAGGGTGATGTTGGGAAAATGGATATCATATGTGGTTTCATCACCTGATGTCTGATGATGCATGAACCGGTCGTAGTGGAGCAGACCCACATGAGAGATGAGACTAGTGGCACATGGAATCAATGCCCAGCAGTTGTAAAGGTAGAGTTGTCATCTAATTCTCAGCCTCAAGTTTGATGGGGTTGCACTCGCACCAATATGCAAGCAAAAGCTGAAAATCAAACCAAACATGTTGTTTGTGCGAATTAGAATTACAATTTTGGCTTCCTTCTGTGTTCTGAGGCCTTGGAAGCATTCATATGTCAAAGCATGAACAGCTCTTAAGTCTTAGCCTCTTAACAGAACTATGAATTATGATTAGTCGGTACAATCGCCCATACCCCACAACCACTGATATATCATAGTCTGGATTAGGATTAGCTGCACTCCATGGCTATCAAGTATCAAGTATATATGCCCTACCACCAGGGTCTGGTTTTTACAAAGTAATGAAGGCCTCTAGAGCTGTCTGGGCCCACCTCGATTCACATCTCGGCCCAATATTATTATTTTATAGAAGGGTGCCCCATAAGTAGGGATTGTAATGGGCCATGCCACGGTTTTTACAAGGTCATGAAATTGAAACCCTTTAGAGCTGCCCAGCCCACACCCCAGGCCTTATATCATATGTGGACAGGGCATTCAGGTTTGTTTGTATAAATTAATATAAAGAATACTTTTTAAATTTTATTTTATAATAAAAATCATAAAACATCTATAATATATAAAGTAGATACTTATTTTGGTTTAATATATTATAAAATTTAAATTTGATTGTATAATGTCAACTTATATCTTTACTACATTTGTCCTGCTATACACAATCCTATTTCACAATCTGTTCTTACTAAAATCATATTACAGTTAAATATAGAAGTTTATAATTAATTAATTAATATATATGAAATATACACATGTATCATAACTTCCAAGACAGACTGGACCAGGCTAAAATGATCAATCCCATCCACAACTACCCCCAATGTCTTAATCTGTCTGCATGATCGACATGGGGCATTATTATTGGTTAAACAGTCCAAAGCGCAGCTAAATATTATTTACATTTTCACAAATCCAATCTGAGAACCAAATTCATTCATCCAAATGCAATATGGCCAATACTGTGATAAAGTTTATAGGAATGAAGTATTAGAGCTATCCCAGTGTTTTGATATATGTAATATGTAAAAAGACAGAAAAAATGAGATAGCTCACAAACTTAGCAAATACTGTATGTAGAAAGGGTACAGAACTGCAGTATCAACTCCTTATTCAGGGAATTGAATGGATTTACAAAGTTTTATGGAGATGGTATAATAATATAATATGGTACTGTGTTTTGCTGACCCAAAAAAAAACATGTCACATGGTGTCACATGATACCAATGATTTGGTCACCTAATCAATTCCGTTTTATTTTAAAACCGTTTTTTAGTGAAAAATCATTGATTTGGTCAGTGAATCATCAACTTGAACAACGATTTTTGCCTTTTTTAAATTTTTAATGTTTTTTGTCAGAGCGAACCATCCATTCGGACTGGAAGGTCAGACTGTTCGACCCAAGAACCAGACCCCAAAGCGGTTCTCTGTCTGATCCGATTTTAAAAACCTTACATGATGTTGTTTTCTTTTTATTTGTTTACTGTCTGGGGTTTCAGGTTTTTTGAGACCCAAATAAATAGGCATGGAATATAGAAGAACTGAACAAATCTGCTTCATTGGTCCCACTCCTTCCAATAGCATCCAAAATTTTATCCTACGCACCAGTGGCTCTCAATGGATTGCTGGGATAGGTTTATTTGCATTCAGATTGCAGATCAAACTGTGCTGCCTACTTGGTACAGTACCTCTTTAGTCTCTAGGGGTGGACACAGATTAAGTTACTGAACTCAGCTTGTAAAAAAGCTTGATTTAGTTTGACTTGAATCAATTTTGGAACCAAATTTGAATCTAATATATAGGTTCAGGCGGAAAGTTTATAAGCCAAATTAAATTTATATATAATATTTTTTATTTTTATACATAATAAGAACTGTTTATATATATAATTTTACATTTTTTACATGAAAAATGACTCATTATTGAATGGGATCTTTATGATTTTTTAATTATCTAAGCTGGAATAATCTAATATTTGGCTCAGCTCGACTTTTAAGTCTAATTCGCATGCATCAAACTCTGAATGTAATTGCAGAGGAATGATTCTACTCTCAAATCCATCTACAGATTATTCGTTTATTGTCAAAACTATCACAGTGCTATTAATTGATCAGTTGACTGTGATTAATTTTTTAAGATATAAGGTGGAACCCCCGAGAAAAGTGGGCTCAATCATGAAACAAAACTTACAATCTGCCACACTCTTAATCAACCGTTCGACTATAATACCGGAAAAGGCATGATATCAAAAAAGCTTACAGCTAATTATAATAAAAGAGGTGATCAATCAGGTGGTATTAATCACAATTTATAGGGGTGTTTTGATTGGCCAAAGCTCTTCGGCCAATTCCTTATATTTCTTGTATCATAGATTTTCCCTCTAGAAAAATTATCTCTGCGAGAAAAATCAACAACCAAGCAAGCAGGATGAGGATTGGCAGTATTCTACAGATATATGGCATCCACAAAAAGAGATGGGTAAGAAAATAAGAGATTGTAGCGTTTGAACTTGAAAGCCGTACGAGTAGATATGGTTGAGGTAAGGTGATAAGAGACAATTATCATTAGTAGAATGACCATTCAGCTCAGGGTCAGAATTTTTAGGTCCAAAGTACAGTTGGGGTAGATGTCAGTTCGGAATTTATGCCAATTTAGGGTGGGCATTGATGTATAGAATGGGGGTTTTTGACCTTTTGAATGTTTATAGCCCTATAGTAAAAATCAGAAATCTGCATTGGACCTGTCCATACTTCTCCATAACCATTACAGGCTTAGTGCTTGTGGGGAACTAAAATACTGTTTGGATAGACTTTTATAAAAAATACTTTCTACTTTTATAAGGTACAAATTGTACAAAAAGTAGCTTAAGCCTTGGGAGATTTACCCATATTTTTCGAAATAAATTTCTAAAAAGTGAAGGCACAAATGGCTTCATTTTCACCAATCAATTCTGATTTGGTGAAAGGATAAAACTTGCATACAATTAGGTCGTGGGACGTTGTGAAATGGCCCCTTGTGGGGAGGAGATGTGATCTCGATTTGTGTGGTCTTACAAATTTTCAATTACCACTCCTAGCATTCATATCGTTCAAATTATCTTGGCTATGACTAATTTGCTCCACTACCAAATGTTAGGGCTGTAAATAAGTCAGATCATATGTGATTTGAATCCAAATTCAATCTAATAAGAGCCCAACATGGATACCTCCCTTCATCTTAACAAATCATATCCAATTGAAAAAGTCGATTCATTTAATTAATGGACTGAATTTGAATATACCCTAATTCAATTTATTAATTATTAAATATTATATAATTATATATTATTATATTATTTAAATAATATGTTATTTATTATAATCTAAATCGAATCAAATATTTGAATTCAAATTTTAGAAATACTACAAATTCTTATCCGATTATGACCGGTTGGATTTCTTATCAAATTGGATCGGATATACCCTTTATCCAATCCGATTCGATCTGTTTGTACCCAATGTGAACACCAGACATGTAACAATGGCTATATTCATGCAGATGAATGGTTCATTTGATAGGGGTATATTTGTCCATAAGAGGGCAGTTCTGTTAAATCACCTAATATCGTTAAATAGGGTTAATATTTTTCAATCTAACCTAACGTGAAGTTAAATAGGGTTCAAATTTTTCAACCCAACCCATCCTGACTTTCTAGCCAGGCCCAAGTTGGAAGCCCGGTTCTAGATCTTTAGTAATTGTAGGGTGTGGGCCATGCCAGGCTGGTACAACACGTTTTGTCATTCCGCTCGCACTGTAATGTGGGTCGTCGTGCCCGATAGATCAGGGAGGGGGCAAGTACAAGCCCAGGACTGTGGCCCGTGAGTCAGCACAATAAGAATGGTAATGAGCGGGGCGGGACCGGGTTTTATATGCCCCGTCCCCGATCCTGAACAAAAATGCCTTGCCTGCCCCAGTCACTCTTATTTCTATATTTATAATTTTTTTTTATTCTTAAACCCACCTAATTACATTATATTTTATAGCATAATATGTAATTTAATATTGTTGGGACAGGTTCGAAGCCGGGTGGACAAATACCATCCCCACCTCGTCCCTACTCCCTAGAACTCACCCCAGACTTGATCAATGGTAAAAACAACCAGGGCATATAACCTTTTTAGTGTATACGCATGGCACCATCACGTTATCCCTACCTACATTATGTGGTTGAACCAGATATAATGATGAACGTATCAAATTATATGTATAAAATGGGCTGGGATGATGTGGGTCGTGGCAAGAACGGCCCATGCATGCATTTAAGGGTGTCAATTGGACTGGATTTGGTCCAATTCAATCCAGTCCTATGTGAGTCCATTATAAATGGACCAGATCCGATCCAATCCAATCCAATGAATGCTATGGACAAAATTAGACTGGTCCAATTCAACCAATCTATTTAAAATCATTTTGATTTAGATTGGTTTCAACCCAAACCCGATCCATTTGCACCTATATTCTTATCTTATATCAATGGACCAGATATTGACTTAATTCAACCCAATCTAATATAAATTTATTAGAGACGGACCAGGTCCAATCCAATCTAATAAATATTTTGGACCGGATTCATCCAATTCAATGTCTTATTAGTCCGTCCAAATTGATTTTGGACTGGACGGGGTCCGATCCAAAACCGGTCCATTGACACCCTTACATGCATACCCCCCGGGCCAAGGATACACCGGATAGACATGGCATTATCTCAGGAGTAGCTTAGTAAATAATATGAATGTATAATGTCATTCATCGTTACATTTCAACAGAATGTAGTTTTATTGATTTTGGTGGAGTGATGTCCATTGATCAAAGATTCAAAATACAAAGCTAATTCAGCTAAAAGACACCAGCAACAAGAAGCAAGTAATACAATACTAGCATCAAGAGCAAGGTCAAGAAAAGAGTCACAGAAAGATCTACATGTGCCTCGGCCTTCTTATTGTTGTTAGGACGTAACTCCAGCGTCCTTTGGTCGTGCTTCTCAGTGTGGTTATCTTTGCACTTTTCATCAGTTTCATTATTCTTTTCTCCCTCCAGTTCTGCTTCAGAGCTAGAGCTTGAATTGAAATTCAGACTGTCATGGGCCATCTCTGCCTCTGCCCTGGGTTTATCAGCTTTCCTTATTGCATTTTCAATCTCCAGAGCCAGTTTGTGCCAGTCCTTGTATGCGGGATGCTTGTCCTCTAACACACCTTGGATTTGGACTGATTCAAGTTCAGAGTTTAATGAACCACTAAATGAAACTCTCCTATTTCGTGGGGGATTTGGTGTTTCCAGCTGCTTTTTCCTCCCTGTTTCAGTCATGCCCTCACTGTCACATTCGTTTTTCCTCCACCTCTTTTTCTTTTGTAACACACCAGGCTTCTTACTGATGCACCCCCTTCTGCTAGCAGAAATATCAGTAGCAACATTGTCAAATTCATCTCCCTCACTTGATGATGATTGAGCAGAAACTCGATTGACACCCACATCACTCTGCTTGTGGTTCAATCTTGTGTAATCTGAGAACGTTTCCTTGACCCCCTCTCGAGATATGGAGCTTAAACTCTTCCTGACATAACCATTAGAGGTCCTCCTTGATGGTGTTTGGAATCTCTAGATTTCATACCTCAAGCATGCATTGATCCATTGTTGGTACACCAGTTCTTCAACTATACTGAATCTGCTTTTCTGCAGCTTCTCAACTTGATTTGATAGAGCATCATTAACATGCATTAAATTATTTATCTCTTCCCTCACTTCAGCAACCACTTCGCCCTGCAGTGTCACAAGTCGATAACAGAAATAAGAGTATATCCTTGTATTCTCACAGTAGGCATCATATTGAATGCATATTTTTTGGTGGATGAGTGGGTTTGATCATAGTTACCTCTGTCATATTGGGGAGAGAAGTTAGTCTAGCTTCGATGTCAACTAATTTAATTGCCAAATCCCGCTTCTCTAAATGAAGTTCTTTGTTCCTCCTCCTGAGCTCCAAAACTTCCAACTCTAGTACCCCCACAGCCTTGATCCTTGCATCAATCTCAGCATCTCTGGTAGTTGTTTCCCCCGATTGAAGGCTGGTAACTTGTTGCTTGAGCATTAGTAACCCATCCATGGTCTGCTTTGCATTAATCTCAATTTGCCTTTGCAACCCCTTGATTCTGTTCCTTGCTCTCTCTAGTTGCTTCTTTGCTAATACACCTTTTGCAATCCCTTCTTGAAGCCTCTTCCTCTCATCTTGCAGTGAATTAATTGTGGTGTTCATCATGTCAACTTCACTTGCCTTAATTTTCAAATATCCCTGTAATTCAAAAATGCCCAACTTTTGTTCTTTCAGGGCATAGTTTTTCAGCAAATTTGCTTCAAGCTTTGCTTTCCTCTCCTCAAGTTCCTTCACTATGTTCTGTAACAGTTTTGTTTCAGTCATGTAGTTTCTCATTTCAACCTTGAATTCTGGGTTGTCTCTCGTGGCTTGGGAATTGTTCATTGCATCATATTTCTCATCTGGAAGTTGCTCTCTGAATTCAGGTAAAATAATGTTTTCATTTTCAATAACAAGAGGATTGCTTAACTTCAAGTTCATCACATCACTTGTTCTTTCAACTTTTTCCTTCTCCATCTGCAACATGTAAAATCTTAGTTATTTGATGAAAACCAATCTAAATTAAGCACAATTAGAAATGCAGAATAAAAAAAGAAATATATTTAGATCCAATTAATTATATTTTATTGACCTCTTCTCGCATACAACTAGAATCCGCATCTGTATACTGCTCTTTCTCAATTTCCTGGCCCTGTTCAGAACTTGTGATGACATTTCCTATTTACAAAGTACACCGGCAAAAAGAGCAAATGATCAAATAAAAAAGGGGTTCAAACTTTAAATCATAGGGAAACAAATAACCATGGAATTTCATCGAACATCTTGGGCACTAACAAATAAGCTGCAGATGTACCTGAAAACTTGGTTAAAGTAGTTGGTAACTTGGAAGAACTGATATTATTCTTCTTAATGGCATAGGCTGCTACTGAAGCAGTGAGTAGAAAACCCAACTTGACAATCATGTATGATAAGTTAGAGAGCACCCAACATTCAATGTTGAACAGTGACCACACAATGCTTATCACTCCAAGATTGGTGTTAGTCCACGAGGAAGACGGTTCGAGATTCAATCTTTCTGCACTGTTTCATCATCTTACCAAGTTCATAAATGCCCAGAAGCTCCACAGGGAAAATGTCGCATCAAATAGAATAAACACTCCACCAAAGTGGCTCCAGAAAAATCTGAGATTTAGTACTCCACCAAAGTGGTGAGGCGTCACCACTCACCACTAGGATCAAGGATTGAAAGACACTTTTTTTTTTTTTTTTGTGACTGCACCATAACATTTGTGATTTGTTATGGCGAAATATCTATCCTCTGTAGGCAAATTTATATGGCCAAAGCTGATATTTTCGGAGAAAGAAAAGGTATATATAGATGATTTTGTGGGTTTCATTGATACAGAACCAGCCAAAATTTTATCAAGAACTATATCACCCATCCTTCGGAAGAATGTTTGGATGTGATTTTTTTCAGGGTTTAAATTGTCGGCCTTGCTTCCTCATAGTCATAGCCAGGACAACAAAAATAAAATAGAATAAAAGATAAAAGTTATTTTAATTAGGTGAAGATAACAACTGCTTTATCAATATTTGAGATTAAATATATAGCGAGTACCACTCATAATGTAATTGGAACAGGAGCGGCTCAACTCATAGAACAAGAACTAGAATAAGCTAGCATACATTCAACAAGCCACAAGCTACTCAGAATCAATTGGCAAGAGATCAATGACTACGTGAATTGCTCAAACAGTCACAGTCCAGGCTGCCAAGCTAGCTAGCGAGAAGTACCACATAGAACAGAAACACAAGTTGGATTAAAGTGCAATCTTGCTACATTAATCCGATCCATGATCTTGCCAACAACTTCGATTGAGGCTCTCTCGCTTATGGGCCACAGACGGCGATTCCTCCAGCATCCGTTCGATCCCACCACTGTGACTATGGGGTCCCATCAGCTCGTTCATTATCTCTTTTTCCATCTCTTTGTTCACCAAATTTTGAATACTAAACAACAGGTGAAGAGCTAAACTATATATCTACCAATCTGAGCAATACTATCTCCCAGTAAGCAGTGATTCTCATTCTCATATCGAACGCTTGCTCCACGAGCATTGGATGGCCTCTCAAATGCCCAATTTCAACATCTCCCAAGCCAGTAATATTTACTTTATCGGGCTTCCTTCCATCATTGAAACGCTGCATGAAGGCACCTTGCTGGGCCATAAGCCCATGCCATCTTGTCATGTAATCTGGGTTGCATGTATAATCTGTTAGCATTTCCATTTCCACAATCTCTTTAACACGATCGACTGATTTGGCCTTAATCTTCATGATCAGATTCTGTGCTGCCCTTCTTGTGCATGATTGAAGCTGTGGGTAGCTTTCAGAGTGACGCATCAATACACGTATAACCACATCTTCGACGTAACTCCAGACCCCCTCGACGAATTTGATCGGAATGTCGGATATTTCCTTCACTTTCCTCTGTAACAACGAGAGAAAAGCAGTGCGAGAGAGGAAGTTGGGGAGTTGAATCCATTTCGCTTCCTCCAGTACATGAATTTCTTCCATCAAAAACTTACTTGAGCCCTCTGCAGGCTGCTGTTGGAGTTCTTTGAAGTACTGGTTGAGCTTATCAGCCATTCCCGCTGTGCAGTGCATGTACTCATCACCTGGGTACTCGTCCATTTCTCCTCTCAGAATGATTTTCCTGAGACTCTTTCGCAGACCCAACAATCCACATGAAAGCGGTCATAGATCTCTTCAGCTGCAGACGATGGGTTCTTAGGCAATTTGTTAAGTTCGGAAATGTTCAGACTCAGCTTGTCATTAATGTTCTTCACGATACCCGGCAAGCATTTCGCTAGACTTGCTGCTTGAATCTGGACGAGCTTCTGAGCCAAAACCGGGATGCCAACAATGGATTTGTCGATCTTACAAAGGAGAGGATGCGATTCAAACAGCTTCGTCTCCTCACTCCTTGCTTCCTCATAGGATTCGTCGCCAATGCGATTCCTCACACAAACATAGCCGAGACCAATATTCCACGTCGTTGGACATCACCTTGAAGAGGAGACCTTCGGGAGCTTTATCACATTTGGTGACGACAGCCAGAGTCCTCTCGCCAGTTTTGTCCACAAGGTGAGACATTCTAATAGATTCACACGTCGTAAAATCTACGTTAGCCGATAAGACATTGAGAATTATACTCTCTTTCGGATTTATATACTCCATTATAATGTTGGAAATCTGCACATAGATATCCTCGGGCTGGCCATGAACGGGAACGCTTGTAATACCCGGCAAATCAACCATGCTGAGATCAGGAACATCCCTCTTTTTCATTACAAGAGTTAGAGGAGTATGGGAGATGCCCTTTCTGTTGCCGGCAATCTCATCGGTGGCGTAGTTAATGGCTTCTGAAACATGGGCTTCATCGGTGGCCACCTCACGGCCAAGACACTCCAAGCGAAGCTCGGGGTTGGGTGCTCGGTGATTATGAAGGCGCATTATCAGAGGAACACGAGTGCAAATGCCCTGGCCTCGAGGGAGGTTGATGCCGGCAAGAGACTCGAGAACACTAGACTTGCCGGAGGATTGATCTCCGACGACGAGGGAGGTGGCGCAACTTGTGGACGGCGTCGAGGAGTGGCCGTATTCTGTCATTGTAAGATGAGTAAAGAGCAACAACCTTGAATTGGTCGCCTTTCTCCTTAACACCTAAACCGATCTTGGCCATTTTATCTTCAATGGAATGAGTTACAGGCATCATGAAAACCAGAGAAATGAGAGCCCTGGGGCGTATGATTTTTGGGTTGGGTAGTGTGTCTCAGTTCTCACACTATCACTCTGTCTTGGCGTTCGGATGCTTACGGATTTATATAGTGAACCGAGTCTATGTAAAAACTAAAAAGTAAAAAGTCGGAAGATGTACGGGAAAAGCAGAGCTTGAGCAAGAAGAAAGCAAGAATTTTTATTTCTTTTTTTATTTACGGTAAATTGCCGGAACCCCCTGTACTTTAGGTTCAGTACCCCTTAAGTTGCTGGTGTTAACATATACACCCCTTCATTAACTCAACGCTAAAAATATTAACCAAAACTACTGATAGCCATCCATAACGTCTTGAATAGACCATAACCCACTTCAACCTGATCAGTGTATCCACCACGTTTAATATTTTTCTATAAACAAAAAAAATGCGTGTAAGAGACATAAAAAATTTAGAAAAATACGTACCAATAGAAATTTCAAATTTTCAAATAAAAACCTTAAAAACAATATTTTTAAAAAATAAATTAATTTCAACCAAAAATCAGAATTGTAGGAAAAAATACATAAAATGATAAAATTTACAAGTAACAAGAGCAAAATATGAAGGAAAAGAAATAAAATAACAAAAAAGTAAAAAATACATAAAAATCGTTAAAAAATGTAAAAAATGAACAAATTATACAAGAACTAGCAGGGACCCATGCGATGCATGGGATTTGTTAAGTGAAAGTTAAATAATATAAATAATTTGCAATGGATTTAATCAATTTTTCATTAGATGAGAGTGGAAAATGGTGTTAACCCTAATGTTCATTTAAATAAATTTAATTAAAAGAAACTAAAAATACCATTTTTCCCCTAATAAGACACAGGCCACCACTCTATTGGCTATATTTGATCAATTTTGTTTTTTTGTACAAAAAAAATGTTAAGAGTATTTTTGGAATAAAAAATCATGGGCCTAATGGCAAAACAAGCACTCCTTAATGAAATGTTGATTAAGTAAATAAGTTGTAAAATATATGGGATATTTTAGTAAAATGAAAACTATAAGGTGTGTTATAGTAAATGGCCCTAATAGAAACACATAAGACTATACAATTGTCTTAAATTTTCACCTTTTTAAATAAATAATAATTATTCATATTTTATATACTACTTTTAATAATTTTTTTATAATACAAAAATAACAATGATAATTTCAATTAGGTTTATTCATCAAACTAATGATGACCAACCCGATCAGCTCGACCCAAGTTGGTCGGTTTTCTAGTATTTTAGGTTGCCTTTGGTTCACAAATTTTCCAACTCGACCAAGTTAGATTAGCTTCGCTTTGGCCATTTGTAAATTGACCAAAATCGGATGACCTAACAATTGATATATATTAATATTTTACATTTTAAATATAATTTTTAATATGGAAAAGTGGGAAGTTTCCCATATTTCTTAGTCTAAAATGTTTTATATCATAAATTTAATTTTTAACAATTGCACTATAATTTTAAAATTTAAGCTTAAATTTTAAGTTTAAATATTTTAAACCAACTGACCAAACCAAAAAATCGACCCAAACCGGTACAATTTGAGTGGGTCGGTTTTCGCAAATGGTCAATCTGTTTTATCTGACCAACTCCCCATCCTAACCAAGTCAATTTGGTTGGCCAAATAGCCTACAACCAAACTGAACCAACTCATGAACACACATATTTTTAGCCAAATTAATAGGCTTATCTCTGATAAATAACAACAGTTTAATCTCTAATAATTATTAAAAATTTATAGCAAAAATACACAATAATTGAAAATATATTGATAATGAAAAATACAATAAGTACTAAAAATATATTAAATTAGCCAATAAATAGTATAATCTCAAATAGTAGTTTGATCTCTAATAAATATTAATCAATAAGTTATAACAAAAATACAATAAATACAATAAGTACAATAAACAAAATTTAAAAATTTCAATAATAGTAGTTTAATCTCAAATAACTATTGAAAGTTTTCTGTTAAATAACAAAACAAAAATAAATTTATACATAATTATTGAAAATACATTTATAACAAAAACAATAAATAATTATTGAAAGTTATTTTCTCGAATTATTAATTGATATAAGTGAAATTAGTTACTTAAAATATTATGTAAAAATATTAAATTATTACCAAAAGTTATTTCA